GATGCTAGGTAATGGGGAGTGTGATGCTAGTTAATGGTGAGTGTGATGCTAGTTAATGGGGAATGTGATGCTAGTTAATGGGGAGTGTAATGCTAGTTAATGGTGAGTTTGATGCTAGTTAATGGTGAGTGTGATGCTGGTTTATGGTGGAGTGTGATGCTGGTTAATAGTGAGTGTGATGCTGGTTAATGGGGAGTGTGATGCTGGTTAATGGAGTGTGATGCTAGTTAATGGTGAGTGTGATGCTGGTATGGGGAGTGTGATGCTGGTTTATGGGGAGTGTGATGCTAGGTAATGGGGAGTGTGATGCTAGGTAATGGGGAGTGTGGTGCTAGGTAATGGGGAGTGTGATGCTAGGTAATGGGGAGTGTGATGCTAGTTAATGGGGAGTGTGATGATTGTTTATGGTAAGTTTGCAGACTTTGCAATGGTGCTTTAAAAGTAAATTGATAAACACTGCAAAAACAAAATCCATGGTGATAGTGTCATATCAAGAGAGAGGTGATCTGATAAAACTAATCAGAAGACTCCTGTTATACATGACTTAATTTGCCATTGATATGTTTTCTTCTTGTAAACCTTCTGGTTTGTGGGTTTCAATTGTAATAAGAATAAAGAAAGTTACAATATCTGAATGTTGATAAACTCGTCCCACGTTGCCAATTAAATCAGGTGGTAATGCATGCATGGAATGAGTGTACTCAACGTTATGCAATTTATGTCACATTTCATGTCCCAGTGCTGCTTGTTAAAGTACTAACTTTTCTTATAAAATATGTTTGCCATTTCAGATAAGGGACATATAGTGTTGACATCAGACAGTCAAGGATATATTCCAATCGATTTCACCAAAAATAAGTCCAGTCAAGGATATCCAACAATATTGATCATGGATGGAAGAAAAGATTGAAATTAACCATTGTATGTTGAGAATTGATTCAATACATTCCTGTGGTATCCTCGCTGAATATCCTCCTTAAACTTTGCCAGGATTACATCTTACTCAAATTAATGTACTTATTCAAAGTTAACAAAGAATGGTGTTCAGTGCATGCACAGTCACTCTAATCGTCCTAGTAGACTGACTGTGGTGCATGCAACAGATCAAGTGTGAACAATATATCAAGATGGATGTGTTACTTAATCTCGAGTTTGTGTGAGCCCTTTGCTTAACTATTTCAATGGTACAACAGTTGCTATTTTATTTTTTGCTTATTATGTGCTTGCCTGAATAAGATTTCATTATGAATCAAATTATGTAATGCTTATATAGTGACGTCATTTTATTTGAAACAAATGATTCTGCAGTGTTCTGTAAATATTATGATTGTAACACCTTGTATTGTTGTTGCATACGACTTATTTACCACTTCCGTGTCACTGAGAATGTTCTAGAACTGTGCTGTGTCTGGGTGGAATATTCTATATTTTTTTTTAGAAACTGGTTGAATAGGTAATAGAACACTGTAGGAGGCAATAGAAGGTAATGGAACATTCTAGAAATTTATAGTAAATTCCAGACTTACTATGTATGCTGATGTAATGGTCTATTTATAGACAGTGTGGGTATATATAGGGGAGTTTTTCAGCACTGAGTTCAGATCGGAGATCTCGTTGAATTGTTTGGAGTTTAAGTATCTAGTTATTGGAGTAGTGGAGTTTTACCGCGTTATTGTACTTGATGTTTGCAGAGTATAATAATACCAGTACCAGTTGAAACCTCATCTGTTGGCTCCGTGTTCGTATTTTATCATCGCCGCCAGGGAAGTCTTTCTGTTACTGTTGCCATTTTGGTATTTGAACCATCACACCTGTACTATACCAATTACAGTAATATTACGTTGCGTGTGACAATTGTGATGTTTGAGTTGTATTATTGAAAATTTTTAAATTTGTATATATTTATTGTAACTCAACTATATATTAATGTTTATACATTATACTTTTTTATCTTCATTTTTTTGCTTTTTTTAGTATAACATTTGACTATGTTCTATTGAAAGAAAGAAATATATTCTTACCGATACTACTCTAATTATATTTTATAAAACTGTGTGCTACATTGTATGTGATTGAAAATGTCAAAAACATGAACTTTCAGCATACCACTAGAACAGCTAGTTTTTGAAGTGCCTATCTCCATTAATAGGGCTCATACCACTAATTAGAACTCCATAGATGACAATGTTAGCGTTTGGGTGAAATTCTGCAAAAAAAAAGCAGATTACAAAAATTAAATATTGTTTTAATTTTTTGAAACCACATGTATGTGATAGAATTCTGACCAGTAAAACACATGTTGGTTAGCTCAAACTCCTACAAAATGGATATAAAAAAAACACACTGATTTTTCAGGCCTACTACTTTTAATATTCTTAGAAAAGCAGCCAGTTTGGAAATGTCTAATCGTGAGTTGCTGAGATCCACAGGTCACCGGTATTTGTTAATAAACAAATACACACAGCTGATGTAATTGAAGTACGCCCTCATAGAAAGAAGATCTTTTTTCTACGAATGCTGAGAGGCTGATTGGTAGCAGACCATAACACAGGGTATACACAGAGACAGCTAAAGTGTAGACTGCCACTTTTCAACTGGTGAAACCGAAAATTAAAGCCTTAGGAAGATAACTTGAGAACCTTGACTGATATTGCGGGAAATTAAACTTTGAAAGGATAAACAATTTTGGTGACTCAGTGGAATGTCTTTGATTTTTGTGTAGAATATTCCAGAAGGTTTTCATAAAAATGTAATAAGCATTTCTATACTTTGTTAGCCAAATGTGCAGAAATTTATATGTTAAATCACCAAATAATATTTTAAACATTGGCTATTCACTAACACATGTAAATTTGTGCCGTCGTTAGATGGTGAACATCGTGCACACATATTGACCACGCCCCTTTAGTTGTCACATTTATTCATGTATGATTTTTTCCTTTAGCAGTGTCTTGGTTTGATAGCACTGCATAAAACGTAGGTTTCCTTCTGTATTGGCAGTGTTTGAAAATGCTGTGGTATGCCTTTGCAACATGTATAACCCATCGCTAAATGGAATTTAGCTTTTATAACAAATGATTTTCCACATTATACCAATTTGGGGTGAACTGTATACCAAAATACATTGCAGTATCACTCCAAATAAACTATTTTGAGCCCCCCCCCCCTCCCCACACACACACACCAATGAGCTCACATTAACATTACCGTGACAGTTAAGACCTGCTTATCAAAAATATCAGCTTATACTAAAAACCGGAAATAATACAGCAATATGAAAAGTGTTAAATGATAGTACCTGCGTGTGAAATAGAAACTTGTCTGACTGGTATTTTTCAGAATCCAAGATATATAAAATACTGATTTTTTTTTTTTCCACAAAATGATGTAATGACACTAAAGTGAACGACTAGAATTTCAGTTCTACTAGTTAACGGGTGGGACTGTCTGGACATGCGCGGGGCAAACAGGGGAGGGGGTACCTAATGCGCGGGGCAGCAGCAGCAGCAGCAGCAATCCCTGTACTGTAGAATTGTTATTAACTTATGTTATGCTGTATAGTGTACTACTGCATGGTGCTTATATGCATGGATTATAGTTCTCTAGGATCATCAATATGATCACATTTTTAAGCATTCGGTTGCACCCTCTAGACAGCTATAATTTGAATGCCCTATTTCGATAGTGAAATTTGATTTCATTTTTAGCTCCGCTGTCGACTTTGTCGAGCGGAGCTTATCATATGAGTGATTTTCCGTCGTCGTCCGTGTCAATGTTTTACTTTTTCGACTTCTTCTTGAAAACTACAAGCCTGAATGCTTTGATACTTGGTGTATATGTACCTTGGGTAGACCTCTCTTAGGTTTGTTCATTTCATGTTGATATCTTCAATTTTCTAATTTTGGTGAATATTTTTGTCATTTTTGGTAAAAAGTGATATTTTCGACTTCTTGTTAAAAACCGCAAGTCCAATTGCTTTGATATTACATATATAGGTACTACATGTGGACCTCTCTCAGATTTGTTCATTTTGTAATGATATCTTCAATTCTCTAATTTTGGTGAATATTTTTGTCATTTTTGGTAAAAAGTGATATTTTCGACTTCTTGTTAAAAACCGCAAGTTCGATTGCTTTGATATACAT